TTCGAGAAATTAAAGTGGAATAGACAATTCAGTAGCTGGATTCACATGGATTCACTAATCCCATGTATGGAATAGCGGAAGTGGGTTAGACTCAATGCGTCAATTTTGGCGAGCTTTGTTTTTAATTGTTTTTTTTAGACACAAGCGCACAAAGAGCTTGAGAACATTTCTGCACTAATTTATTTATCAATTTCCAAATCTCTAATTTCGTTTACTATATAACTTTTTATAAATAAAAAAATATTCATACCATGGACTTTTGTAAGCATGTATTTTTTTACGTGGGTGCTGCGTAGAATTTATACCTGGGCACGCAATTTCCAAAAAAGTTCCTGTATAACGATCTAATGTTGATCAAATTAAATAGATATTTTATGATTACGTCAGACGAATACCGCGTGTCAGACCCTGACATTTTTTCAAAATGAGATGGATAACATTCTTCAGTCAAAATACATACGTATATGATAAATAAATAAATAAATAAATAAAAAAGTAATGAATAAAAGTGAATGTGTATTGCCACATTGCACAAAACCATCAGTTGAATCATCTTGTCGCTTGAATTGTCGTTGAACAGTTTGTCGGTTTCTGTTTTTTCTTAAATCGCAATAAAATGAAGCTTTTGTACGGATTGGCATTGGCTTTAATCTTCTTTGAAGGATTTGTGAGTATCTTTTTTCATTTCATTTTTTTTGCGCCATTGAATTCACTGAAACCAATTTATTTCAAAAACAAACGAATTTAGATAAGCCAATGTGAAGGTGCAAGTGGGTCAGAAGAGGCATCGACCAGTATAAATCTAAAAAATCTTCCAAACAATGTATATGAAGAAATCCTATTCAGGACCGGTTTCAGTGCAACGGAACAAGCAGCAAAAGACAACCAAAGATCGTTAACGGCTGTCAAGAAAATATTTGAAGATCGTATAATTCAGATCTGTCCAATGAATTGGGACGACGAAGAAGTTAGAGAGGAGACTCTAGATGGTAACATTTATCTTAACATCTACGGTGGTGATCGAATTCTATCACTTTTTGAACATTTTGGTGAGCTTGTAAAGAAGATTAAAATTGACTATGAATTCATTGATGAAGTAGACGAGGACATACGCCAGCAGATAAACGAAAATATTATCAAAAAGTATGCAAAACAATTCACAGAGTTTCACATAATTGTTCGTGGTTCATTTTTGGCATTTTTGAATGAATTGTCGGATGGAGGAGAAAGGATTCATTTTCCAAATGTGAAAAAACTTGTTTATCAAGGTCCAAATTTCGGAAATTCATACGATTTGAATGCGATATTTCCAAATCTTGAATCTTTGAATTTTTATTACAATCGATTTTTTATGTCTCACTCAGTTATGCAAATTAATATGACTTGTATGGAAAATGTTACGAAATTGAAGGAATTAAAACTGGAGATTAATCGTCATTCATACATCCAACGTGAACTTCAACATTTTTTGGCAAAAAATAAACAAATATCTACGCTCAAAATAGTAATAGCCGATAAAACAGACATTCTTCGCTCGATCGAAGCTCATGCGACCAATTTGCAAACACTTGAAATTCAAATGGATAACACCGACTTCCTGACTCACGTATCTGAAGAGCATCCATTTAATATGCCAAAATTAAAAAGGCTCAACTTAAGAGGAAATTGCGATACCTCTCGCATAATTAATTTCATAAACAGTTTCAAGAAGCTGGAAACACTGGATGTGTGGACCAATAACGATTTAATTATATCAAACTTTGGAAAGTTGATTGAAATTCGGGAATTCATAACATTTGACTTAGAAATCATCGATTTTAAAGAAATATTAGAGAGTTTTGGTAGAAAGAAACATTTGAATATAATAAAGTGGGCGCCTGTTGATCAATTTAAATGTGACAATTATAAATCTGAAGTGGTTGAGATTAATAAAGAGTCAAAGCAATCACATAAACCAACATGGAAAATAAATTATATCAAAGAAAATGGATACAGTTATGGGTACATGATGTTGCTGCGTAGCAAATAAATGTAAAAGTCATCCATGATATTTGTTGAGGAAATCAGGTTTTTAATGAGGCATCGGCACTCTTTTTCCCTGAAAATAACTGAATTTTCACTGAATATTGTCAATTTAAATAAATTTCACTTTTGAATTGAACAAAAATGTTGTTTCAGTCGACTTGAATTTGTTCATTTTTCTCTGTCTTGTAGTTCCGGAATTGAATATTTGAAATTTTTTCTCAATTCTTACCAAAATTCAAGTTCAAAAATGAATCGCAATACAACAAATAAGCAATGTTGAAAAAAACTGCATGTTGCAGCTCTTGATCATTCACATTAATTAGTTTGAACTTCACACTGTGAAGCAAGCATGTCGTGTCCTGCCCAATCTAAACAAATAACAACAGCATTGGTGATGCGCATGAAATGTTGCCTGCATCATTCAATGTGTCGCATAAATGTATGCCATTCCAAATGCTTAGTTTTTTTAAATTGCTAACTGACTTCCTACTAACCTGGTAAGGACTATTATTTTCTATATATTGTATTATTTATTCCTTTTATTAACATTTTGAGTGCTGCGTAGGATTTGTACCTGGGCACGAAATTCCCTAAAAAAGTCCCTGTATAACGATCTAATGTTGATCAAATTGAATAGGTATTTTATGATTACGTCAAACGAGTACAGCGTGTCGGGCCCTAACATTTTTTCATAATGAGATAAATAGCATTCTTCGTTCAAAACGCATACGTTTTTTTGTAATAAATAGATAAAGCAGTAATAAATAAAAGTCAACGTGTGTTGCCACTTTGCGCAAACCCCAAAAACCATCAGTTGAATCATTTTGTCGCTTGAATTGTCGTTGAACTTTTTATTTTGAAAATTTAATTTTATTTGAAGGATTTGTGAGTATCTTTTTTCATTTCATTTTTTTGCGCCATTGAATTAACTGGAACCAATTTATTTCAAAAACAAACGAATTTAGATAAGCCAATGTGAAGGCGCAGGTGGGTCAGAAGAGGCGTCGACCAGTATAAATCTAAAAAATCTTCCAAACAATGTATATGAGGAAATACTATTCAAGACTGGTTTCCGTGCAACGGAACAAGCAGCAAAAGACCGCCAGAGATCGTTAGGTGCTGTCAAGATCATACTTGAAGATCGTATAATTCAGATCATTCCAATGAATTGGGACGACGAAGAAATAAGCGAAGTCGATCTAAGACATCGAGGAGATAACATTTATCTCAATATCTACGGTGGCAAAAGAATACTATCACTTTTTAAGAACTTTGGTGACCTTATCAAGAAGATAAAAGTTGACTACAAATTCATAGATGACGCAAACGACGATATTCGCCGTCAGATAAATGAAAATATTATCACAAAGTATGCAAAACAATTCACACATCTTCACATAGTCACCATTGATTCGTTTTCAAAATTTTTGGATCCACTGTCGAACGGGGGAGAAAAAATTCAATTTCCAAATGTGAAAAAACTTGTTTATCAAGGTCCAGATTTTAGAAATTCATATGATTTGAATTCAATATTCCCAAACCTTGAATCTCTGACTTTACATTATAATTACATTTTTGTATCTCACGCATTGATGAACATTAATATGACTTGTATGGAAAATGTTACGAAATTGAAGGAATTGAAATTGAAGATTAATCCTGTGTCGTATAAACTACATGAGCTTGAAAATATTTTTGCGAAAAATAAGCAGTTGTCCACGCTTGGACTCGTGTTGACCGATAAAATAGATATTCTTCGTTCGATCGAAGTACACATGAAAACAGTGCAAACACTTGAAATTCAAATTGATGGTACCAAATTTCTGAATCAAGTGTCTGAAAAGGATCAATTTAATATGCCAAAATTGAAAAGGCTCATCTTAATAGGAAATTGCGATAATTCCCGCATTATTAATTTTATAAACAGTTTCAAGAAATTGGAAACACTGGAAGTGTGGACCAATAACGATTTAATTATATCAAATTTTGGAAAGTTGATTGAAATTCAGGAACTCATTACATATATTCGATATACTATGAATCCAAAAAAAATATTGGAAATCTTTGGTAAAAAGAAGATGTTGAATGTGATAAAGTGGGTACCTGTTGACAAATATGAATATAACACTTTCAAATCTAAATTGATTGAGATAAGTCAAGAGTTAAAGCAATCACATAAACCAACATGGAAGGTGAACTATATAAATCCGAAAGCAAGCTATGGTTACATATTGATGCAGCGTAGCAAATAAATGTAAAATTCTATCATAATTTTTGTTGGAAAATATGAGGTTTTTAATGAGGCATCGGCACTCTTTTTTCCTGTAAGCAACATAAATTTCAGCCAACTTTCGACAGTGCAAATAAATAAATAATTCTCCTTTTGGAATTAAAACGAAAAACTTTGTTTCAATCAAATTAAACTTTTATTATTATTTTCTCACAGCGGAAGGCAGTACGCGCGAGGGACGAAACCAGCTTAGTGTGGTCTGCAGAGACCGATTATCTTCCAACTGTTTTCGCCACAAAATTGATGTAGGAAAAGAACAAAAAGAATATGTCTCGAATCGACTCAATTCTCTCACCATACATTTTTATTAGATAGATAATTTCTCGAAATGCATACCAAAGTGTTTACTTTTTATAAATTAAATGTAAAAATCAAAGCTCGCTAAAATTGACGCATTGAGTCTAACTCATTTTCGCTATTCCATACATGGGATTTGTGAATTCATGTGAATCCAGCTACTGAATTGTCTATTCTACTTTAATTTCTCGCATTTTTACACTTAAATTCTAATCCTATTCCACGTGTCTACCCACTAGCGGTATACTCGGTATATA